AGAAGTGAATTCTGGCTTTTTTTACAAGAGTGCAGAAGAGAGAGAGAAACTTGTAAAAGCTGAAAGAAAATTCATTGAAGATAGAGTTAAAAAGATAATAGAACTGAAAAAAAAAGTCTGTGGTGATTCAGATAAAGGATTCGTTGTTATTAATCAAAAGGTGAGAATGAAATGAGTCTATATTGTCCATTATTATTTTTAAGGTGACTTCTGTTGTAACTAACTTTTGTTTTTGTTATAGGGAATTGACCCCTTTTCCTTAGATGCTCTTGCAAAAGAAGGTATAGTAGCTCTCCGTAGAGCTAAAAGGAGAAATATGGAAAGGTACGGATAGCATATTACTTTAGTGATGTAGATTTTACTTATTTTGCAAGTTAAGTGGGATTACTTCTTTCCCCCCGTTCTTATTGTGTTTTTCCTTTTTTGTTGTGATTAAAATATACATAATATAAAATTTATCATTTTACTCATTTTTTCAAATGTACAATCTAGTGGCATTAAGTTACATTATTGTGCAACCATCATCATCATTCATCTCCAGACTTCTTCATCTTCCCAAACTGAAATTCTCCTCGTTAAACAATAACTTTGTTTCTTTCCCCTGCCCCTGGTAAATACTATTATTCTATTTTGTCTCTATGAATTTGGTACCTCATATAAAGGAATCGTGCAATATTTGTCCTGTTATGCTGGCTTATTTCACTTAGCATGATGTTTTTAGAGTTCATCCATGTTGTCACATATTAGAATGAATGTCATTTCTTGTTAAGGATGAATAATATTCCATTGTATGGATGTATATCACCTTTTGTTTATCCATTTATCAGTGGACATTTAAGTCTCTCCCTTTTGGCTGTTGTGAATAATGCTGCTGTGAACATTGGTGTATGCTTTAGTTTTAAACCATGACATGTATATGTACGTTACCAACCATGTCAAAAGAGCATCAGGGGGTGTCAGAGAACTACTTTTTCCCCAGATCTCACCACGATAAAGAGCTCTTGTTCATCTTTAGATTTCTTTTTTTTTTTAAGTTTTTTTTTTTTTTTTTTTTTATTCACGAGAGAGAAAGCGAGAGAGAAAGGCAGAGGGAGAAGCAGGCTCCCAAGGAGCAGGGAGCCCGATG